GTCAACTGGCCCGCAGTCTCACACTAACTGAGTGGACCACACCAAGCATACGACGTACAAGACTGCACGAGCTCGACCCTTCACTACAACTCCGGCCTCCACCCGGCCTACATCGACGTGCAGCTTCGCTTCTCTATCACCTTTAGCTGGGAGTTGCTTTCACGAAAGCTTATACCACATTAATCGGAATTACTGACAGTGCGGTGTGCGATGTTTGCGGCACCGACGAAAATATCGAACACCTGCTGTGCCATTGTCCTCGATTTGCCTCAGATAGACAATACTTGCCAACGCAATGCGGCGACTGGATGATCGGCCTCTTTCTGTGCAGGTGCTATTACAGCAACGTCCACATGCCTCGACAGCCCACAAGGCAGTGAAAGCCCTGCTGTGTTTCCTGAGAAAGACAGGCTTGTGTGAACGCCTCTGACATGCGGTAGAGTTCTACACGCTGCAGTGAAATTACTGTCAGTCTCTCCCCCACCCTTTTGTTTTCTTTTCCCTCTCTTCTCTCTTTCTCGTCTTTCTTGTCCCCTTCCCTAATCCCCAGTGTAGGGTAGCCAACCGGATGTCTTTCTGGTTAACCTCCCTGCCTTCTCTCTTTTTGTTGCTTCCTTCCTACAACATCGAGTCTCTACGCATTTCAAGGAGCTTGGCGCGAGTACTAGAACCCATTGCGAGGTGTTTGAAGCTGCGCCTCCTGGTTAAACACATTTCACTCTGCGGCACTACTTATGGTGTCCTTGCTACTCAGGAAACACTTTACCGATTGAAACACACGGCGCACTTCAATCCAGAACAGATTATGGAACACGAGAGCAAGCTGGTTTCTGGGTTCAACTTGCTACATTAATTCCGAAATGAATTCTTTGTGAAATAACGACGGAAAGGAGAAAAGAAAGAATTGTCTATAGAAGTACACAGAAGTTAAAGTATAAGAGTGTAGAGCTATCTCATGTTTGTAAACAGTGGTAGATTGTTTATATGGGGAGGGGGGAGAAGGGAAAAACCTTTGCCTTTGCTGTGTTTGCAAGCTTGGCGCAGTGCCAGCCTGCAAAAGTCTCGTCAAACAACATTGGAGCATAATACAGGCGCACTCGAATTTGGAAGCATGCAACTGCATTTGGGTGTTGTCCGTCTTTACATTCTTCTCCTATCCCCAGCTCTTCTTTTGGAAACCATAAAAGAAGTGCTTTTTTGTTGTGTCGTTGGTCTGCGCTCAAAAGGAATCGCAGTAAGAACTAAAATTGCAGGTAAAAATGGAAAAGCGAAAAAGTGAGTAAAGTTATCGATACAAAAAAAAAAAACAGCCAGGAACACATAACGCTGTACCGGAACTTACCGTGGTAGGGCGAAGAAAGATAGCGGAAGAGCTCGTGCACCTCCCAGGCCCTCCTGCCGCTGACACATCGACACGTGGCCCAAATGGGACAAAGACACGGCGCTGGCTGAATCTGTACGGGGAGAACGAACCGGATGCGAAGAATGGCCGAAAAGAGGAGAATGACTCGAGACTTCGATTTCATGCGTACTAAAAGAACAAAGTAAAGAAAGGTACACGTCAGCACGCAACTCGCCCCATCTTATCACGAGTGCTGTGTGCGAAGTGTGTGTAATGTCTGCTGGAGAAAAGGGCATGAATAAAAGGAGGCCTCACGAGAGGGACCTCGTACGAATAGAAGGAGAGAAAGACACGGCTCTACGATTCTCTGGTCGGTGAATATATGTATATTATGAACGTCTGACGTCATACCTGGCATCGGTGTGTGTGTGTGTGTGTGTGTGTGTGTGTGTGTGTGTGTGTGTGTGTGTGTGTGTGTGTGTGTGTGTGGTGTGTGTGTGTGTGTGTGTGTGTGTGTGTGTGTGTGCGCGTGTGTGCGTGCGTGCGCGCGCGCGCGCGCGTGTGTGTGTGTGTGTGTGTGTGTGTGTGTGTGTGTGTGTGTGTGTGTGTGTGTGTGTGTGTGTGTGTGTGTGTGTGTGTGTGTGTGTGTGAAAGTGCCGTGAGGGTCATCAATGTAGCTGACAACAAAATTTCGGGTTAGATCTGCGTGAGAATGCTGATATGGATCGACACACGAAGATTACCTTATTCGCTTTCTCTAACCGTTTACCACTACAAGAGTGACTAGAAATATTACTTTTCCTATGTGCGCGTACACCATTCAGTTTGTGGTTAGTTAAGCATAATTCAAAAGTAATAGCACAAAAATCTTACCTAGTAAGCCTAGTGTGCTACCTGCTCAGCGATTCCAACGTCGATAAACCTGAACAAAAAATTACACTTGCGTTAAATCAAGTCAATATCAAACTCAGTCGACGGTGGATGGTTCTATTTAGCTAAAAAATAAAAATTCAGAAACACACAAGGCGTTGTGTTCTGTTCTCACGACATAATAAGAACCACGTTTGGAGACAGGTACCTTTAACCACAGGAGCGGCTACGTTTTTATAGCCCGTACCACAACTACCGCCTTTTTCCCCTTTTTAAATGCGAAGAATTTCTTAGTGAACTTTTGTGACTTTGAGTCTATCTATCTATCTATCTATCTATCTATCTATCTATCTATCTATCTATCTATCTATCTATCTATCTATCTATCTATCTATCTATCTATCTATCTATCTATCTAACCGCCTACGACTTTCAGCTATCGTGGCTGTTTCGATAATGGTATCGATAATAAACATGCTATGGCGTAACATCACTGTATAAAGGACATATTTTACTAGTCATGACATGAAAATCATGACATCTTTGTCATGAATGTAATGATTTATATTTCATGGCCCTGCAGCTCTTGCGGTGGTTTCGTTCACATTGCATGTTGCAAAACTTGTATGTTATGGCATGATTGCATGGCAAACACAAGCTACAGACCCTAACATGAAAATCATGACATGTGTGTCATGTAACAAGATGACTACATGCCACGCTCATGACGCGCTCGCGGCCGTATCGCTAGCGTCACATATACCAAACTTTGTATTACGGTACGTGAATAGTTGACGAAGGTATGTGACTGGTGCAAACATGATAGTCATTAGATGCGTGTCATGCGACAACATGACTACATGCCGCGCTCATGATGCGCTGGCGGCCGTTTCGCTAGCTTCACTTATACCAAACTCGTCATTACGCGACGCGAACTGACGACATAGGTGAATGACACGTCCAAACATGATAATCACGACATGCGTGTCATGTAACAACATGACTACATGCCAAACTCGTGGTGCGCTCGCGCCCGTTTCGCTAGCTTCACATATGCCAAATTTGGTATTGCGTGACGTCAATGGATGGCGAAGGTATGTGACTGGTGCAAACACGATAAGCATGACATGCGTGTCATGTGAGAACATGACTACCTGCCACAGTCAAGGCGCCAATACATTTCGACGTGACGTGGTTGGCATGATCGCCGGCGCTCATTTCATCGCGTCACACCGGCGTTGCCACCCCAGGCACCGGTCCTTCTATGTACTCCCAGGCGCGAGCCGCGCTGCGTTGCTTTGACGCATGCACGTTTCAGCGCGTCCAGCGTCTCTCCGTCTCGAAATGAGGGAGACGCAGTGTTGTCTGGGTAACGCATCGGCGCGAAACGCAGCATGTCGCATTTCATGCCGATTGCCGTCGCGCCGCGTTGACGGACGCTGGTGGCGCCCGGCGTCATACAATAGAGCGCTCACGTTTTGCTAACGTTGCGTCGCTGTGCCCAGCGTGCGCGCGCGTCAACGCTACATCGGAGTACATTGGGCCCTTCATGATTCGTTTTGCTAGCTCCACATATACCAAATTTTGTGTTACGTGACGTCGTTGCATGACGAGATATATCACTGGTGCAAACATGATAATACTGACACGCACGTCATGTAAGAACTTGACAACATACCCCGCTCATAGCGTTCTCGCGGCTGTTTCGCTAGCTCCACATATACTAAATTTGGCGTAACGTGACGTGAATATATGACAAAGGTAAGCGACATATGCAAACATGATAATCTTGTCATGGAAGTCATGTATCGCATCATTTCTCTCCACCTCGTAACGTTGTGCTGATTTCAAAGTGGCATATCAACATTTCTCATTCGTGCTTCGCATATCATAGATTCCCATTGTACGTGCAATCTGCCCATTTTTTTAGCATGACGTCTGACGTACGTCGATCGCATCGTGCAGTAACACGCGAAGACAGAATACAAACACCATTCGTCAAATACTCAAAGAAATCTGCACTGAGTGGCAAGGCAAATTAGCAACCCTAGAAGATGATCGATCGTTAGGCTAGCGCATAAGTTCATCGTTTACAACTTCGAGCACGGGTTCTTGAAACGACACGTTGAAAACCACGTTTATCGTTTTCTTCTCTGCATCTTGGCCCAGAAGAAGTGACCAAGATGCGCGAAGTTTCGCTAAGTTGGATCTGGTTCGGTTAAATCAGATCAACTTATGTGACGTTGCTTTCGATATCTGTCTCTGTAGCGATAATAATTAACAACGAGATTGCTAAGCTTCCCATTGTGATATGCAATTGATTGATTGATTGATTGATTGATTGATTGATATGTGGGGTTTAACGTCCCAAAAGCACCGTATGATTATGAGTGACGGCGTACTGGAGGTCTCCGGAAATTTCGACCACCTGGGGTTCTTTAACGAGCACTCAAATCTGAGCACACGGGCCTACAATATGTCCGCCTTCATCGAAAATGCAGCCGCTGCAGCCGGGATTCGAACCCGTGACCTGCGGGTCAGCAGCCGAGTACCTAAGCAACTAGATCACCGTGGCGGGGCTACTTTACAGAGAGTGAGTGAGTGAGTGAGTGAGTGAGTGAGTGAGTGAGTGAGTGAGTGAGTGAGTTTACGTGTGTGTGCATATGCCATGAATCTAACGAGTTGGGGTCCAAACATTACAAATTAGAATCCGTTCATGTTGTACCTTAGAACATGAGAAGACAACGTTGCCCTTCTACCAGACTCTCTGTTTTCGCGTTGCTCGCAGACCGGTACGTGATGACGGCGTCGGGTGATCTGTACGTGCGCAGCCTGACGCAAGCTTCCCGCTTCCGCTGCCACACGGAGGACGTGCTCACCCGCCGCAACAGGACGAGCTCCACCTACGCGCACTACCACGCTACGGGTACGTGGATGGCCCAGCTCTGCAGCTGCATACATACATACATACATACATACATACATACATACATACATACATACATACATACATACATACATACATACATACATACATACATACATACGTACGTACATACATACATACATACATACATACATACATACATACATACATACATACATACATACATACATACATACATACATACATACATACATACATACATACATACATACATACATACATACATACATAGGTACATTTTACGAAACATTTCGCAGCCTTTTCATTCTTCCCTTACAGTGTTTTTAAATTGTTTACATGAACGACAGCAACAATATTTCGTTCACGTCACACATGGCCACAAGCAGCACACCTTGCCGTGCGATCGGGATTGTGGGTCTTCCGTTCTAGAAACTAGCCAACATTCTCGTTGCACAGGCGTTGCTCACGCCCCAGATCTTGGCGTAATCGCGATCCTCGACAATCACGTGCGGCGAAAATGTTGATTCCTCTCTTAGAACAGGCACAAGGAGCGGAGTCAGGGACTATTTGTCTAATTAGGCAAGAAGCACTTACCAAGCAAATTCTTCACCTTCTTCACCGTTTTATTCTACGAACATGTACTCGATCATCCTAATAAACTCCAGATAGAATACCAGGCTTTTGTTCTTGTAAACTTTTGAAGAAAACAATTTAAGGGGCTTAGTATATTGCCTGGTTTCCGGCGTCTTTGCAAAACCTACCCCCATAAATTACGCTAACAATCCGACCGGTCAAAGCTGCAGCTCTAAAGTAGTTAGCGCGCCTGCAGCGGCAATTTCCATTTAGCCGAGCTCATTGAAAGCCGAACTTGACAAACCCAGGGGCTGTTAGGTGGGTCCCTTCGACACCACTCAACTAAACAAACTAACTATAGTTATTCTCGGCAAACAGCACTCCGAGTGCATGCTTAGGAGGGAGTTTTCTTTTTTTTTCTTTTAGGAAGCAGCTGTTTGGGCGTAAATGATTCCTGCGCCAAACTTTATCACAAAGCCCGACTTTATCTTTCTTTTTTTTTTTTGCAGGCGGAGAATGTCACTGAGCTAGCGCTTTAGCGGCTGTTATCTGACTTTGCAGCTCCCTACTTTCGCTTGATTTTTGTTTATCGAAAATATTTCGTTCTAGTCACCTCGGGCACTTACTTCTCGCTAGCCAATCCTCTGCGAAGCTTCACAAAAACATTCATTCTGATCTTTTTATATAGGGCAATACATCACAACTTTTTTTTTTCTTCCACTGAGGCTTATCAAACATCACTAACGAAAAATAATCGTTGTGACGCGTTCATAAAAAACAAAATAGGAGTCTTTTGAAAAAAAAAACTCCCGCATTTAAATGACGTGACAGCGCGGATTTTTTCCTCATGTTCATTTTCTTAATTTTCACAATACACAAAAAAAGTTCAACCACTGGGTCGGCTATTGTTCCTCCTGTTCCCGTGAATTCACGCGTATAATCTGTCACGATCTCTTAATTAGCGGCTCGCGAGATTTTTTCTGTGTTTTTTGTTTGCTTTTTTTTAGTCGAAGACGAATCAGATTTCGCATGCGAGGGAAAAATCTGACGTGTTGCTTTTTTTCTGTTCTAGCTTTTGTCGCTTAACCACATTCAGCGAGTAGGGGGAAATAGGATGCCGTAATTAGAAAACTTGTATATCATAATTTGTTATGAAGCGAAGACATTGCTTCGTTATGTTTACTTCGTGTTCAGTTCATGACTGATAAAATGTGTTTTCAGTGCATATGCAGTGCGACAATGTCGGCTTGGTGTTTGCCGAAAAAATTGGGCTTCTAGCTTACCGTGAACAGCTAAGGAAACACTCAAAATATCAGGACATGTGGTAGAAGAAGCACGAAAATAAAATCAGACTTAATTAATTTAGCAGCCAACACGTCATTTCCTACGGAGCTACGGAGCAGAAACCTGGAGACTTACAAAGAGGGTTCAGCTTAAATTGAGGATGATGCAGCGAGCAATCGAAAGAAAAATGGTAGGTGTAACCTTAAGAGACAAGAAGAGAGCAGAGTAGATTAGGGGACAAACGGGGGTTAAGGATATCATAGTTGAAATAAAGAAGAGGAAATGGACATGGGCCGGGCATGTAGCGCGTAGACAGGATAACCGCTGGTCATTAAGGGTAACAACTGGATTCCCAGAGAAGGCAAGCGGGGAGACAGAAGGTTAGGTGGGCAGATGAGATTAAGAAGTTTGCGGGTATAAATTGGCAGCAGCAAGCACAGGACTGGGTTAAGTGGCGGAACATGGGAGAGGCCTTTGTCCTGCAGTGGACGTAGTCAGGCTGATGAGGATGATGATGATGATGATGATGATGACGTCATTTCCAGTCTTCACCACCAGCCACAGGGAGCGTCAGAGTTGCGACGACGTGTTTCGACTTCTTTTTTTTTCTACAACACTTCCAGCATTGTCGTGCGCCGTTCATCTAACAGCATCACGAGTCGATCCCACGCTTTGAGTGTTCGTGTATTTGTTTTCATTCGCGGGGAAGTCACGCACGCGCATATTATGTCGTATTGCAAAGGTGTATGAGAAACGCCTCTGGCTGGGCTAAACCTGGGCTGGGAACTATTTTCCTTGGTACAGTCAATCCGCTCGAATTTAGAGTATTGCCGACATCGTACGAATAAAGTGGTAAAACAAATGAAGTGCAGCACTATTAAGTGCGGAATTTTCGGACAAAGCCAAAAATGAGCTGGGACAGGCCCTACGTGTCAGCTACACCTTTGTTTATTACGGGACGCGTCTGTTTCGTCCTTCGTTCAAAAGTTCTGCGCTTAGCTGTGCTAAAGTATAGAGTATCGACTGGCTCGAGCCGATGATTTGAAACAAAAGACTGCGTTTTATTTCTTCTACACGACCAATGCACCCTAGTGAGAGGCCAGAAGCGGTAGTATAGAGTAAACTGGCAAATTAAGCCCTATTTCTCGTGCTATCCTTACAGCCTCTCTCGATGTCCTCTTGTAGCTCAAACATTAGCTAAGGATTCTTTACGCATCCTTGTTCCCTTCTATGTTTTTGTGCATGAACGTAGGCCGTCCATCTCCCATCTGCCTCGGTGGAACAGTGGCTAGGGTGCTCGGCTGCTGACCCGAAGGGCGCGGGTTCGATTCCGGTGGTCACATATAAATATGGAGGCGAAATGTTAGAGACACTTGTAGTGTGCAATGTCGGTGCACCTTGAACAACCCCTGATGATCTAAATTTCTGGAGCCCTCCACTGAGGCGTCTTTCATAATCATGTCGTGGTTTTGAGACGTAAAGTTCCACCAGATTTTGTTATTTCCCTTATTGCCCTCCTTCTCTCTCTCTCTCTCCTTCTTTGCAGAAACAAGCGGAAGCCAGACACCATCAATCACTTTTCACTCTGGACACGTGACCATAGACCAAGGTCGCCCGACTGACCTAGTCTGTTTAGCGCAAGGTTGGCCTCCACCGAAGTTCAAGTGAGCCTCATCGATGCCTCTTAGGAGATAAAATGCCGCCTTGGCGAGCACGGAACTCGAATCTCATTAAAATAAAACAAACATTCCCTTAATTTATTTCATTTCACTTTCACACACTGATTATTATATATCGTCCCACTTATCGGCAAGCCTGTTCTAAATGTCAAAAGCTACACATGCCATAATAGCTCATTATTGAAAGAGAATGGTGCAAATAAAACAGGCTCTTGAGGGGATTCTGCTTCCAGTGTCGTTGCAGCGAAACGGATTTATAAAGGCTATTTTGTGTAGCGCACACTGTTTCGTGCTTTTAACGAACCTGTAGCTTCTCACACTCGACTTGTTCCTTATCACTGTGCTCGGTACCAAACGGGGGCAAATTCTATAAACAAAAAAAGGATATTTTAAGCCACGTAGAGATGCGGGTTTTGGGGCTCTGTAGCATTGTGATAATTATTAAATTGATATCAGCTTTCTCAAGCCAACTTTCTGCAATTATCACTCGCTCATTGGGTTGACAAGAAGAATACCGAACACATCAGTTGCTTCCCAATGCATACTGCGAGTTGTGGTACACTCGTGGTTGATGCCCGCTTGAGCCACGGCTTCGTGGATGTTGCCCACCTGTGGACGACCTGTTTTGTCACTTGTACAGGTGGTACCGCAAGCAGGGACAAAGGCTGGCACCGGTGTCGTCCTCGCCTGCACCGACGGTGCTCGACGGAGTGCTGCACTGGAGCGGAGGAGTGGACGCCGAAGACGAAGGCCAGTACGTGTGCGTCGCCTCCAACACACTGGGAGAAGCCAGGGCCACGCTACAGCTCTCAGTCATCGGTGAGCACGCGTGCTTCTCTCACGCCAGGTTAATTAATGCCTAGTAAGGACAAAACTATTAATCGCTTACAGGGGGTAGTCATATTTCAAGAAGAGCGGCGAGTGGGGCATGCGGCAGTAAAGCAATGTGATCTATGACTCCTATAAATACCACGTTTTAAACACCAGTAACGCTTTAGCGTATGTGTTTGTGCGTAACTGTACGTGTCATTTCTATTGGAGCAGCTAACCATGTACCAGGTAATGAACTAGCCTAACATCTATCTATCTATCTATCTATCTATCTATCTATCTATCTATCTATCTATCTATCTATCTATCTATCTGTCTATCTATCTATCTATCTATCTATCTATCTATCTATCTATCTATCTGTCTGTCTATCTATCTATCTATCTATCTATCTATCTATCTATCTATCTATCTATCTATCTATCTATCTATCTATCTATCTATCTATCTATCTATTGATAAATCTATTTATCTATCCATCCATACAATCAACGAAGTTGGATTACCAACGGAAAAACGCATTTATGAAAGAAAAGTTTGTGAATTCAGTCCATGTCGTCTTTTTTTTTTTCCTTCCAACTTCTACGCTTTTCGACGCACCCTCAAACGGATAAAAAATTGCCTGCAGCTTCCCTCGGGGGAACACTGAGGAGGATGCGGAGCATATAATTGGTTAACGGGGTGTTAAAGTGCGACTTACTTGGGTCGATGGCTAAATTGGTTAACGTGGTTGTGAAATGGGGTGGTAAATTGCGACTTACTTGGGTCGATGGCTAAATTGGTTAACGTGGTTGTAGGAGGGGGTGTTAAATGAGTGAACACGTACACACGTATGCGAAAGGGCGGCGCTGGTCGAAGGGACGTCGATCATTGTGTTTGTGGATTCGTTGGAATTCATTTCACCGCGACCTTGGACGTCGACGCGCCGTACAAACCAACCGACGAGCGGCAACTGAGCGAGCGAGCGCCGACCTTGAGTATATATACAGCGCGACGGCGCATGCACTGTCAGCTGTCGAATGTTCGAGAAGGGGGAGAAGCGCAACGGCGCATGCGCGCGCGTCAGCTGCCGATGTTCTCGAAGCGCGACGGCGCATGCGCGAGCGTCAGCTGCCGATGTTCTCGAAGCGTGACGGCGCATGCGCGCTACATTATACAGCTAGCGAATGTTCGTGAAGAGGAGAAGCGCACGCGGTGTGTAGAGGAGGAAGGGTGCACAGATGGTGGAGGAGTGAAGCGCGCGCGGTGTGTAGAGGAGGAGGAAGCCTCGAGTATTAGATGCTCCGCATCTAAAAAAGCGACTCGAGTCGGGCCGAACTCAAAGTACGTGCTTCGCGCTCGATAGTTTACCTGTTCTTTGTTGCAAGGAACTTTTAAGCTCATCTATTCCCTCCTTTCGAACAAACGTATTGATGAAACCGGCAGCGATAAAATTCGGAACGCAAGAGCGCGTGTTCGTATAGCGTGGGCGACGCTTGCCTGGTTGCTGCACTGCTGCGAGCAAGCGGCGCAATAGTAATTTAGGACGAGAAAAAGAGTTGCAGTATGCATCGAAGACAATTAAGGCAAACCAGCGCAGTGCGCTTCCTCTCCACAATCACCTCTCTCTCTCCCTCTCCTCTTTCGTTTCCACTTCCTATTATGCATCGCTCGCGATACAGCGGTCGAAATAACCCGTGCGCCGCGCGGTATAGCTGTGGTGGTCGAAGAGAGAGACCACGTTTCTGCACGGAAGCCGGCTTGCACGGCATAGAAACCAAGTATCGATCCTCGCAACGCGGTGGAGACCAGGCGGCACGAAAATCACTTCTGCGGTCGAGAGAGATTTCTAGGCCTCTCGCTCATTCATTCCCGCCCCGAACGCTAGTCGTTGGCGTGCCTTGAGGAACGGGGTACGTCGGGAAAGCTACCTACGCGTGCCGTATAGACAGGCGCGGGGTGTCAATGCAAAAAGCCTCCGTTGCTCGCGCGAGACACATTTCGACAATGCTCAGCGAGCCGCGCGTGTTCACAAGAACGTCTTACGCCGGAGATGTTTGTAACAAGAAAAAATTGGCAGATCCCACGCACAGTGGGAATCGACGATATGCGAAGCACGAATTAGAAATGTTGATATGTCACTTAAAATCAACACGACGTGACCAGGTGAAGGCAAATGATGCCGCACATGGCTTCCGTGTCATGATTATCATGTTTGAATGTGTTGTCTACCTTCATCATCTGTTCACGTCACGTGATGCCAAATTTAGTATATGTGGAGCTAGCGAAACGGCCAAGAGCACGCTATGAGCGTGGTATGTTGTCATGTTCTTACATGACAAGCGTGTCAGGATTATCATGTTTGCACCAGTCATATATTTCGCATCCATTGACGTCACGTAACACCAAATTTGGTAAATGTGGAGCTAGCAAAACGGCCACGAGCGCATCATGAAGGGCCCAATATAATCCAATGTAGCGTTGACGCGCGCGCACGCTGGGCACAGCGACGCTACTTTACAAAAATGCGACTACTCTATAGTCTGACGCCAGGCGCGACCAGCATCCGTTGGCGCGGCCCGACGCCAACCGGCGCGGAACGCGACATCCTGCATTTCGCGCTGATGCGTTAGCCAGACAACACTGCGTCTTTCTTTTTTTTGTGACGTAGGGACGCTGGACGCGCTGAAACGCGCATGCGTCAAAGCAACGCAGTGCGGCGCTGGCCTGCGAGGATATGGCAGGACCGGCGCCTGGCGTGGCAACGCCGGCATGACGCGACGAAATGAACGCCGGCGAGCACGCGCACAATGTCACGTCGAAAAGTATTGGCACCTTGACGGTGGCATGTAGTCATGTTCTCACATGACACGCATCTGATGATTATCATGTTCGCACCAGTCACATACCTTTGTCATCCATTGGCGTCACGTAATACCAAATTTGGCATATGTGAAGCTAGCGATACGGCCGCGAGTGCATCATCAGTGTGGCATGTAGCCATGTTCTTACATGACACGCATCTCTTGATTATCATGTTTGGGTGGGTCATTTACCTATGCCATCCGTTCGCGTCACGTAATACCGAGTTTGGTACATGTGAAGCTAGTGATACGACCGCGTGCGCATCATGAGCGTTGCATGTAGTCATGTTGTTACATGACACGCATGTTATGAATTTGATGTTAGGGTTTGTCGCTTGTGTTCGTCATGCAATCATGCCATGCCATACCAGTTTTGCAACATGCCTTGTGAACGAAACCACCACAAAAGCTGCAAGACCATGAAATTTTAATCATGACATTCATGACATACATATCATTATTTTCGTGTTATGTCTAGTAAAATATGTGCTTCATACAGTCATGTTATGCCATGCCAAGTTTGGTATTGATAACATCATCGCAACCACCAGAAGATCTAAACATCGTAGGCGGCTAGATAGATAGATAGATAGATAGATAGATAGATAGATAGATAGATAGATAGATAGATAGATAGATAGATAGATAGATAGATAGATAGATAGATAGATAGATAGATAGATAGATAGATAGATAGATAGATAGATAGATAGATAGATAGATAGATAGATAGATAGATAGATAGATAGATAGATAGATAGATAGATAGATACGCTAAAAGTCACCGAAGTTCGCTAAGAAACGCTTCGCATTTAAAATTCAGCCAATCATGAAACGGTGCGTAAATAATTAGGGAAGGTGACAGCAAATTACAAGCAGGACTCGCGAATTAAAGGGTTTCTGAATTTACGCCAAGGACTTTACGCTAGCGATGATGACGGTGACTGCGGCGTGAATAATAGTATTAGTAGTAGTAGTATAAACTGTGTAGAAATAAAGGCCGCAAATACAAACGTAAACGTGTACTAACTGCAGTGCCTGACTACGCCCACTGCAGGCATTTGGCTTGCGGTGGGCATAGCCATTATGATGATGATGATGATAATGATGATGATGATGATGGCAGCAGCACTTCCAGTCAAGCCATGCCGCATACGTTAGTTGTCTCCTCAAAGCTAAGTGCACTTGCGTAAGCGAGACTTTAGGCTCACAACACTGAACGCGCGAAAAATCAAAGCAGATTGGGGTCTCTAAATAAGTTGAACGTAGCAAAGACAAAAAAAAAACGCGAAAAAAAACTACAGGCTTTACGTGTTTCCTCACTTTCACTGAGAGGGCCTCTTGTTGCAGCGCCCACCTGATTATCTCACCGTGCTCACTTGCGTATAAACATCCATCCTCGGCAGTTCATTCTCCCCTCTTCACTCGCTGTATACGCGGGATCCACGAAATAAACAATGCGTGGGCCTACTGCCACAGCAAGCCAACCTATTGTGCTCGCAACACAATGCTCGGGAGCCGCTTGTAGATGCCAGACCCAATTATCGGCCGCCTGGTGTGAACAGGGAAGCCGTTTTTCTTGTTCGTTTTCGTATATTAGCCTCTTCTGCCACATTCCTCGGCGCGTATAGGTCTTTTCTTTAGAGAAGCAACGAGAACAAGATAAGCTGGGATGGTCCTGTTTGACAGGCACTGCGATGCCAGCGCTGTCGTCAACTATACCTGCTTGCAAGGAAACTAGTGGCCGAGCGCGAGGACTTCCTGCGGTGGTTTTTCTTCTATTGTACGTAAATCGTACCAGGCATTTATACATTACGTGTGTTCAACTGGCAAGTTTATAACGCAACCAATATCATTAGAATCATCAAACAAAAAGAAAGATATTTTACTCGTTTGAAAGTATTAATTATTTTCTTTTCGTGGCTACGAAAACAAACTAGTTCACAAACTAGTTGAAGCCGCCATTATTATTTCATCATTTTGCTCATGTTATGCACATTCTGAAAACTATCACGCATATATACTCAGCAAAGAAACGCTGGCGCGATGCGTGTTCAATGAAAGCTGCTGAGCAGCACGGACTCGTTGGCACGTCAGATCCTTGTCCCGAACTTGACAGGGGTGCATAGGAGGCAAAGCATGAGA